GGCATTATCTGAGCTCTAGTCACACAGAAGACTGCTAAAAGTAAAGCAATTATAAACTTCTGTTGGATTTCTTTCTGCAAAAATGACTTTATCTTATTTTCCAGGAATGACCTCCAGGTGAAATGCTCCCACCTGAGGTCCAGAAAGGCTCTGCCTAATTGGCTATTGTTAGGATCATCAATGAAAGAAGCAGGGCCTCTGCACGCACATACCAACTGATTGTAATTAAGGCCCTGTGCAAGGGAGGATGGGTCGCTTTATAAAACTGGGAATGAGTTCAAAACAATTGTGGAGAAGTTGACTTCTTCAAAGAAAATCCTGTCTGTGAAAGATCCCCAGCTGATAACCTTAGCCTGCAGCCTCACCGTGGTCTCTCTGTGGGAGTCCTCTGTCTCCCTGTTCTTTATCAGCTACTTCCTTTAAAACTTCCATAAAAGACTTACCCAGACCTCAGCAGGTGACCCTGATGCTGGCTACTGGTAAAGTGGGAAGTGCTGTACACTTGAAAATCATTCCTTTCTTATTGTTATCCCCTCAAGTACTGCACTCCCTGTTCCCCTAATTTAAAAGAAAGCCCACCCCTAAGGAAATGGCCTATTTTATTTGTGCACTACCTAGTTCTGAGTTGTCCCTTAAATACTCTCATCAGACAGTTGAAGACTTCTCATCACAGGAGAACAAATAAGAACAACACTTTTAAGTGAAATAAAAGCTACGGAACATGCTTTAAGCATGTTCCAATGCACTTTAACAGTCCCAGTCTGATAATGATAATACCACTCTAACTAACGAAAGGACTAACTTTGTTTGATTGGGTTTTCTCTTTGTTTTTGACAATGCTGGAAAAGGAACCCAGCACCTAGTACATCCCAGGGACATGCAGTACCACTCAGCCACATTCTACAACCCCTATGACTTATTTTAAGAATGAGAGAAACAGTAAGTCTCTAGGTGTCTGCTTACAGATTTGTCAATTATAAAGAAAAGAGAATCTGACTATCCTTTTCCCATTAAAAATAAAGTGTTACTACTGATTATTTTTAAAAATGCATAAAGAAAAAATCATAATCAACCACCCTAAGGAAATCATCAGTAGTCTATTTTTTAGTCTTTATTTGGATTTTTATATACTGTTAATTTTAGCATGAATAATGAAAAGCATACCCAATCAGTCCAACAGAGAAAATGAACATACATCATGGTAAAGGAAACCGTAAATGCTCTAGTGTTTATCATCTAAATCTTAGTAGATGTAGGCACAGATGTAGACACTTTACTAATACTTTCCACAGATTAATCATTTAATCTTTAGAACAGCCTGTTCCATTCTACACATTAGAATTGGGGCTGAGAGGAATTAAATACTTCGCCCATGACTACAAAATAAGGAACACAGAGCCGGGGCTCCATTCCAGGCCTGTCTAACTCCAGAGCTTGTTCTTACATTGTACTCCAGACTCTGGAATTCAGATTTCCTTGTGGAAGAAGATTTTACCATTCTTTCACATCTTGGCTCCTTCAGGATGGACCTGCAAATTCACCTCCTCAATATCAAGGCCCTTTATCGCACCAGTCTTCTGTGTTGTCCCATATAAAGATGGGTCTCTCTCTATTGGTTACCTGACGGCACTGATTTATGGTTTACTCATTGCATCTTTGATCTACCACATACAGGTCAACATTCCTCATCTGACACTGCTTCAGCTCTCTGCTTAGTCTGAGCTTATGGCATTCTTCCTCCCTCCCTGCCCGCTCTCCCTTGATTTCCTCCCCTACACCACACTCCGTTTCTCATCTCAGAAGGTAACTGTGGTAACGTCTTCCACAGTGGGTCTAGGGAAAAGTCCCCCACTATGCTTTAAGAGCTTTATGTTCTCCCAACCCTACTTATAATCACTTTTCTTGTATCTTAACAATTTAGACAGGTTAAGTTTTCAGTGAGATCCCATGTCCTTATCTCCTACAGCATCCTACAGAAGATGGATTAATACCCATTTCAGAAGGCTACTACTACCACGGCTGCCTCCTAGAGACAATCCAAAACATAATCCCAACCTTTAGCAAGCAAAACAAACAACATTTTAACAATCATTACAATTACCGATATTCTGATATGGCTGATTGAAACAACTCCTTTTGTTTGCTTCAGAATGATAATATTATACCTCTTTTAGCTTTATTTTAATGCTATAATTTGGACAATTATGCAACAGAATTGTTGGCAAGCATCTGGAAGATATCAGTTTGAGAGAACCAAATAGTAATTCTCTTATTGTAAGAGAATAATAACATTTTTAAAGTTTCAAAATTGTATTCATGGAGGAAAATATCCAGCATACAAGTCCTCCACTATAAAGATGTCTGCAATTATTAAACATAATCCATATTACAAGAGATTTACAAATTGTGAATTCCACATGGAAATGTATTTTCCATCCCTCAGCATAACCCTCAAGTAACATACAGTTAATTCTGCCCTTGGGGTATCATTTGCATTTAATTTATCACTGATTTGTTGGAAGAAAAACTATTTCTCCTTAGGACATGTCCAAAAAATAAAAATGACTAGTGTATGTTACAGAATGTACTCATTCTATCTACAGAGGAAGAAGGGTATTTCAAGAGAAGTCACAGAGTCAATTATTATTTTAAACCTAGAGAAGACTAAGACTATGAATTATCAGAAATGTAAAACCTAAAATACGTTCTTTACTTTCAAGTGACAAATTATCTTTCTACCCCTGTTCTGCTCACTTAGGAGAAATAGAAATGTCTCTCTTTTCCTGCCTCTCTTTCCGTTAACTCTACTCAAAATCTCATAGTCAATAGGCTAAGCAACAAGTCAATAAAGATCAACTAACAAGGCCTCTCTCACCCTCTCAGTGAGACTAAGGGCCTGACAGGGTCCACTTCTCTTGTGTTTTTGTCTCCGTTCAAGAGGAAATTATTTCTCCATTGATTCCAATGACTCAATTAATTACAACATTATTCATCAGTTAAAATTTTATACCCTGTGCTCTAATTCTGCAAAAATTAAGTGGGCATCCAAGTGGGGCTAAGGCCGGGACGCAACGGTTACAGACTTTGAACCAGCTTGTGGCCATCTAGCAAGAGCCCATCAGACCATCCTGCAATAAGAGCTGACCGTGTTTGATAAGAAATTTTACGCCTCAGCTGAATCACACCCATAGTACTCAGCATTTCACATGAAAACAATGGTTGATCATTTTAACTCAACTATCAAACATGTCTCTATCGTGACATAACCCCATGGATACATGTACTTACAGAAAACTTGACTGCATTTTAGTAGCTATTGTATACTGCTACTAGCAAGGCCACTGAGCTGACCTCAGAGCAGAAATTCATCTGAATTTGTTTTCCACTTCTGCAGTGAGTAGAGAGACCACAGGAATTGATATCAAAGAACAGCAAGCTTTTCCCTGATTGGCTGCTAGCCAGATGTGGGTCTTCTGGGTTTCAGATTTTGCATCCATAAATGTGAAGGATGAATTAGATAGCTTCCCAAACTGTTTGAATTCTGTTTTATATTAGCAGCCACCAAGAATTTCAGCCGGTCCAAGATACTCCAATGAGTGAAAAGAACAGTTTCCTGGACCCATGGTCCCTTCTTCCAATGGAAAAGACAAACAAATATTCAGAAAAGAATCCCCTTCCCCAGTAGACTTTTCACGTGCAGCATTTCACGACAGAGACAGTAAAAACAGCTGTGGAGGGAGTCATGAATCTTCCCTGTTCTACACCCCGAAAGGCAAAAAACACTTTATAACAAACATGGCTTGTTTTAACATAGCGTACGATGCACATTTCTTGGATTAACTTCTTCAGCTTGTACGTGTGCTACACAAATAATACTAGTTGTGTATCTTTTACAATCTGGAAACCAATAAAAAGCTTTCTTTAGGCAAGACAACATATGGAGAGGAGGACAGACGCACTTTCATGGAGTGGTTAGCTGAGTGGTTTAAGACGTGCCTGCTCAATGAAAAACATTTCCATTTACACCTGAGCAGTTCTTTTGGAAGGAAAGGTGTTCATGTAGTTATTATTTTTCCCAACTCCTTATCACAGTCTTAAAATGAAAATGCTCATCCTTCAGGCTAAACAATCCATAGAATCATATATGCACATATTTTTATAAATATGCTAATAACATTTTACATTAACACAGAGGGTGAAAGCACTTTGGAGAAGATACTATAAGTCATTAATTCTTGAGCTACTCAGGAAACAGCTAAGGAAAGCAATAGTTTGCCAACTTTTTCAAATGACAGAAAACTGCAGGGGCTAAGCAGTCTGTTGACTCAAAGTTTTCTCCTGAATTTTTTGTAGGGCCTTACAGAACACAGGAATGCTGTGAGTATGGATTGGCTTCTGCTACACACTCATAAAAAGATCACAAGTAACCAGTAATTCTGTGTTTTATTTGTCTTCTCTGCTTGTCCTCCCTGGATCCTGTCCTTCAAGGAGCCTCCAGCCCACGGCCAGGAAAAACACCAGAAAAGCTGTGATGGCCGCTTGCTCACAGACCAGGTAGTTTTCCAGCTGCCTCCTTCCTGCCTTCCACTCCATTTCCTCCATGAGGAGCCCTTTAATTTGCAATGCAGCTTACTTATATGGTTTGATCCCAGTTCAATGTCCATCTGACTGCTTCATGCTTAACTTGAGGACTTTTTAATGACAGGTCCCCTAAGAAAAGTCTCTGCCTCCCATACTCAACCTGCCTCCCATACTCAACCTGTACACAACTAGGGCCTTCAGAAGGATGCTGGACATGACTCAGCCCCTACTCAGTCCAGGGAAGGGGACAAAAAGCCACCAAGGTAAGGACAATAAAATCTGGCCCACTTACAAAGGAAATACTTCTGGTCTACCCACCCACCCAGAATGCCAGGGTCTCTGGAATATTCTCAGGAAAACCTCAGAGAATCCCCAACCCCTGCCCTTCCAGCGAGGATAATAGTGTTAGAGGAAGTTACCATGAGGGCCGTGTATGTGTAGGGATAGTGGTAGGCCAGGTAGCAGACATCCTCACTGTGTGGGAAGGTGACAGCGAAGGTGAGGGTGTAATAGCACTTCCCAGATGCTCCGCCCATGACAGCTGCACTCTGTCGATAATGATTTCTAAAGAAGTAAGAGAAGAGAATGAGGGAGGGAGGGGTAGGGAGAAAGTCACACAGAGTCCTAGATGCTATAAACCCTGTGTGTTATATACTAGCAAAACAGGCTTAACTCAAAACACTTTTGTGTGTGAAATTTAGTAAACAGAGAAATGTGCAAGTAAACACACAGCCAGGTCACAAGTTGGCTCAGCAGTGCATAAGCCTGGCCCATGTGACTCCCAATTGTGGCATACATGCCATGGGCCCTTCCTGGCTGTGTCTAAAAATGAAGTCTACAGTCATTGAGCTAGAAAATAGAAGGAAATGTAAATAATTCTGTGTCAGTTGCAGACATCACTTCATTACCCAAATTTGGGTTCCTCTAATCCCTGTCTGTCCCAGCCCACACAAGATGCAGCTCTTTCCTTTCCCCTCCAGCTGCCAAATGGATTTTATTAGCGGTCACCACTACATGCTGAGTTCCAACTCCGCCCTTAATATATGTCATCTTATTATTGAAATAATCCACTGTGTGGATAAAGAAATGAAAACTTGGAAAAATTAATTTGCCAAATGTCTCAAGGCAAGTAAATGATGGGAACAGGACTCAAACCCAGATCTCTCTGGCTGCAAAGCTTTTGTTCTTTCCCCTAACACTTTCTTCCCAAAGGAATGTATTTGTCACCCCAAATGGAGTTTTGCATCTCGAAGCTTGATAATGCACTGTTCTTTTGTCAAAGATGAAAAACCCGTCTTGATACCTCAGACAACAGTATCAAAGAAAACTGCACCCAGAAGAATATTCCAAACAATATTTTCTGCACGTGCTGCTAGTTGTGTTCGTGCTCTGCCCATTGACTCTGAGACAGCCATGCAAACTGTCCGGGGAAATGTTAGCAATAGGCTGCATGACAATGCAATATACACCCAGACACCAAAAGATGCATTTGCACCTTGGAACACCACAGAGCTGGCTCACTAGCCTATTGTACTTTTGGCTTTATTAGGGGAAAAGGGGGAGTAGGAGAGAAAGAAAAATAGACTGCTACTCTTCTGCATATCTTGCAAAATATAAAAATCATAGGCTATTCTTTTCTGCCTTTTTGCTACCTACATGCTATTTCCCACCAAAACAAAACAAAAAGCATGTAAGAATGGAGCCAAAGAAAATCTGTAATCATATTTCTTATGGTTTTGTGAGATTTGAATTTTTATAAAACCAGGGACAGAAATAAAAGAAGGCGATGATCCCACCAACTGCAGCTTGATATGTTTCACTTGCGTCAGCCTCTGTCAACATAGTAACCTGAACCATGGTCACTCTAGGGAAAAAGGATATCCCAACACAACCCATGCACTAAGTGATGGTCCCACCAAATTTCAACATCACATTAATAAAAACCATTTCCTTTGTGCTTACAAATAAAATAAAAATTTTTAAATGGGGGAACTTTCAAATTTTTTATAAATGTATTAGAATAAAAGACATAGTGCTATTAACACCCCTCTAAATACTGCCCTTCACTTCAAATGCACTTAGCCCATAGTTCTTGCCACTCTCTGAACCAGTTCTGGAAGTCCTCTTTCATGAGTGTCTTCATTTTTACTGTCATGGCTTCCTTGATATCCTCAGTTGATTCAAAATATTTATCCTTCATGGTCATTTTGACTTTGGGGGAGAGCCAGAACTCACACAGTGCCAAGTCCAGTGAATAAAGTAGATGAGGCCACACCATGATTTTTTTATAAGCATACCTTTCTGATGGACAGAACCTGGTAGCACTATTCACAGTATTTTTAACCATACCTCATAAAAGACACTCACAAAAAAGGATTTCCAGCACTGCTTTAGAAAGTGGCAAAAATAATGGGACATGTATTAAAAGCAAGGGGGAATATTTTGAGGAAGATTAATAGCAATGTGTCTTTTGTACTGTACTAATTTTTTAAAAAATTTAAATTCACTGTATTTTTCAATCACACCTTGTAAATCTTGATACCTAATTGGTCTACTTTTTACATATTTCTTCAAAGTTCTGAAGTTTTTCCAAAAACTAAGACTCTGGTTATTAGAAAATATGCAAAAAAGCACATGACAGCTTATAAGTCATGCAAGACACATATATTCCATCTTTTATTTGCTTTCTGGTTTCACCCATAAAGGCTCCATTGCAAAGGCATTTTCAGTTTATTCCTAGGTAAACAACACATTTTAGTCAATTACAGCTCCTTACAGTGGAAAAGCCAATGAAATAAAAGTGACCCTGGGAGAGCCAATCAAAACACGCAAGGGTGCTTCACCTGTGAGCATATATATTTGAGTGAATGCACGTACATGTGCACACACAAACATTTGTGAAAAGGCTGATGGAAAAACACATCTAGTGCCTCAATATTGCCAGTTCTGCACCTACAAATGGTTGCAAAAAATCTGTATCTTGACTCAAAAATAATAGATGCCTGCTATGGTTTGGGTCTAGATGTTACCCTAAAGCCTCATGCAATCATAGGCAGAGCTTTTTCAGAGGTGGCTGCATCTAGAATGTGTGATGCAGGGATTAAGGGCTTGTGATTACTAAATCAGTCCACTGATTGATTGAGCATCACTCTAATCCCAGTAGCCTAGATACAATATAAGGGACAGAAAGAGACTTGTCTTGTCCCTTGCTTGCTTTGCTACTTCTGCCATCCATGAACTGTTTCTCCTCTGCAATGCCTGTCTTCCATGCAACCCTCCCTTGGAGCCAGTCGATGATGGACTGAAACCTCCACAAACTGTGAGCTAAATAAACCTTTCCTCCCTTAACTTTGGGTGTCAGGTATTTTGTCTCAGCAATAAGAAAAAAATAACTAAGACAATGCCCTTAAGGCAAGTGACAGTGATCTTACTGGTATGGTTCTTGTTCCTTTTTAGCTTTCCCACTGCATTATTAAGGACACCATTAAGCATATTTGCCCTATGCAAACTCAACCACAGAAGAGAGCAAGAAAGAGAGAAATTAAAACAATGAAATATCTGTATTTGTCCTGATCCTCTCTCCACATTCAAACCAAACCTGGAGTCTGAGAGAAGAAGAGGTATAGTGAAGGAGAAAGGGAAATAAGATGGGCTAATTCTTATTTCTTCTTACCTCTTGAGCTTCCACGGTCCTACTGATTGAAGGTAAGAATGCAAGTGTGATAGTTTTAACTATGTGAAATCTGCCTTCTCATACTCCAGCACACCCACACACCAAATGTGTTACTCCTTGTAGTTTAATAGTCAAATTTAAGAAACTGAATGTCACCTCATTTAGAATGAGTTTTTGTTACAGTCCTATGCTGGGGTCTAACTTTAGCTGAACCTACGTAGACCTCAGATTTCCCCAGTGGAGTCTGCTTGTGGCCATACAGTGGTAGAAGCTGTGCATGAGATGGCTGTCTCCACAGCAAAACTCTTCTCTGGAGACCTTTAACGGTTCCCAATATCATCATCTGCAAGATGAAACATTTGCTAAATCTCTAAAGGGAGACACTAGGCTTGTGACACATCAATTGGTCTGTGACAGAGCAAGATCCATCAACAAGTTGTTTTTGTGTCCTCAGTTACAATGGGAACATACTGAGGGATGTCTGCAAAGAAGTAACATTCACCCTTCATATTTTAGCGGCTTCTCGTACTCTCCTTTCTTATGGACAGTCCCTTCCCTCTTCTTCATTTAGCTGAGTCCTCTCATTCCCTCAACACTTAAATGTTTGCTCTTTCAGAAAGTCTTTCTTGACATCCCCCTTTCACACAGCTCTTATCACCTGCATGGCTGACACTTTATAGTAAGGATCAGGCTTATTCATTTGTGTATCATTATGCTTAGCATTTTTGTATCTTGCCTGAACATGACAGCATTCAGTTGAAGTCTGTAGAGAAAATAGACTTAGGACTCCAGGAATGATAGTTAGGATATTTAACATATTATAGGTCTAATCTTAACATCCTTTCAAGGTAAGTACACTATTGTTATACGGGTTCTACAGACAGGACCACTATCACCTTAATGTTAAGTGCCATGAGCGAGTCCACACAAGTACAGTAAACAGGATTCAATCCTGGGTGTGAGATGAGCTCTGAGACTAAGGGCTTTCTATTATTATTATTATTATATCACTTGCTTTTTAGAAATAGGATAAAAAGACAAAAGATCCAACTCAGCATGTAAGAAACTGAAGTTCTAGTCTTCATAAATTAGGGCGATCTATAAACTTTGGTTCTAAAATAATAGTGAAATACTCCAGATGAAAGATAGTGAAATTGATAGATAGACTACTATTCTCCCTAGTGTTGATATTTGATGCTATCAATTATAATTACTAGCATTCACTGAATATGTGCTATGCACAGACACTATTCTGAGCGTCCCACTGATTCGTCTCCTACCATTTGATCTTCAGAACGGCTGTTAGGTACACGCATCTTTACTGTGTCCATTTTATAGACAAAGAATCTAAGGTTGAGAAGAGTTGGAATAATTTGGCCAAAGTCACGCCATGAATGAGGGGTGGAAATTTGATTCCAAAAACTTTCACTCCTCCATCTACTTTTCCAGATGAAAAAGAAACCTGGCCGAGAAGAAAAGAACAAGTGTGCTCTCAGATTGCCTGATGCTGAATAACTCATCTTGGATCGTAGATAACCTGACTGGATACAACCAGCGGCTCCACAATTAAAAAGCTCCCCATGGCTTCCCCTTCTCTGGATCATTTATCTTTGGAAAGATGGGCACTTTGGTAATCACAAAGTCTTCAATGAAGCAAGGAGCAAAGTACACAAATGCATAGTTGTGGACTCAATCTTTTTCCATTTGTACTTAAAAATATGCTGCTGAGACGCCTTTTTTTTTTCTTTCCTGCATATGCCTGAAATCAGCAAATGTCAAGGCAGAGAGTGAATTAGAGGATCTTGCAGGAATGACGGTCTGCTTAACAAGGGTGCGCCATGCCACTTAACGGGATCTAATAATGCACAGCAGCGTAGGCATCGCCAGCTTTCCCTGCGCCGCAGCGTCTCTGATACTCTATACAGCACCAAATCTCTCTCCTGAGATCCCGCGGAAGGATGCGTGATGGCTGAGCTCTTGTATGACATTCATCTTCATGAGTGAGCTGTTCCATCTCGTCTCACGAGCGGAGATAAATGTCAGAAGAGATCAGCCGCTGTGTATTACACGGCCGCTCAGAGCGCACGGCTTCCCTCCCTCTGTCCTTCAACACCAAAATTACTTCAGATCAGAGCCGGGAGAGAATTCAAAAAGGTATGAGGCTGTGTCTGAGGGAGAGGCAGGCCACGGAAAAGCAAATGAAATGGGAACGAAAACTGCCCTTGCTTACTTCTATGAGAGGTATGGAAAAATAGGCCTATTCATTTATGCTCTTCTAATTGAGGGTCGTTTTTTATTTTCTAGACAAGTGGTCCTCAAGGTGGGTGGGAGATGTGGGCAGGAGAGAAGAGGTGGAAGGTCCTCCAAGAGAGGAGCAGGATGGTCAGTTGTGCACAGGGAGAAAACAACATTTTCTCTTAAATTTTTAATTATCTAAATAATAAGAAATTATTTGTCTCATAATTAATATTAAGATTGACACAACTGCCTTTACGCAGTCCACGTCAACTCTGCATGATGAGCGGTGACAAAACAAGCGAGATCGTCTGGGTAATAGCTCAGCGGCACAGCGCCTGCCTGGCAAGCGCAAGCTCCTGAGTTCGATTCCCGGTACCAAAAAAAGCAAGATTATGGGTCAGCGATTGTATCCATTCTTCCCTGCTGCACTCCAGGGATGGACTGTGCAAAACACATTAGATAATACAGCAACTATGTTTATCGGTGAGACAGTTAAGTATCAGTGAGTGCTGAGGACGTTTCCTGAGGGGGACCAGGGATAGCTTACTCCCCAGTCCTCCTTTTGCTTTTAGCTTCTGTCAAGATATTTAAGTTTACAGAAGCTTGTTCTGCCGGATTTATAGATTATATTATCTAAATTAAACTAAACCTCTTAACATAGATTATTAGTGTTTTTAACATTCTACTTAGAAGCCATCAATTAATGAGTCTAAATTATAAGCACAATTGACCGAGAAAAGAGAATACCACACTATACCCTCCCACACCCCGCCTTCTGTATCAGCTTATTCTCAATAACACTCACTTATGTAAAAATAACCTAATTAGACCTGGGAAGTTCACTATAAATTTTCAAAATTATCCATAAAACTCTTTACAACTGTATTTTGAATGGTGGACTCCACTGTAAAGGCATAATGTGACCAGAGCTATCAAAAACTATTATTTGTTTCATAATTTTCATCATTTAAAATTCACTTTTGGCATGTTTTCTAATGCACATAATTTTAATATAACTGTGGGTGTATCATCTATTTTTAAAAGTTTACAAACAAATCTGTATCAGTGAATCACAACTGTATCTTGTTCACATCGAGTGGCACATGAGCAAAATAATTTGGGGACTACTTGGAACTGACAACTGGTCCCACAAAGTAATCATTCCACCTTTACAGTTCTCCCTCATCCTGTCAGCTCCCAATCCCTTTCCTTCTGGATGTCACCTTTGTATATGGGTACCCAGGTACCATGATTCACGTTTCTCCCCACAACGAGCACCCCGTCAGTCCCTTAACCTATAACATTAAGCCTGGGAGTTTAGCAGCACGACAGAAGTACAACTAAAGTTCTACAGGCAGGACACAGGAAAGAAGGAACTAAAGTTCTTCCAAATGAATAAAAAAGCAGGAATAAGGCAAAGGAATTGTCTAAAGCAGAACAACCCCATGACTGTGATGAGTAAGCATGTAGTTAGAAAGGTACTTTATAATAAAAGGCATTTTATAACAGCAAGAGGTGCTCTGATTTGTGAGTGAAGAGAGACTATGCATATCTATCCTGTTGTTACATCATATTATTGGAAATATGCTAACATAATGTGGTAAAGTATTGTAAAACAAACTACATTACAATGGAGCAATCTTATCCATTCATCTGGGTTGTATTCATTGCTGGAATATGAAAAATGAATTTACATTATACGTGCATGGTTTTCATCTTACCCCTCTGTTGCTCTTTAATCACATAACAATTGCCTTGTTAATGAATCTAAAAGCTATTAACATGGGCTTCCCTTAGGCCTGGGCTGTGTTTTTGGATGTGTGCTTTCTTCCTGCTGCTCTTGCCAGATGCCTGGTCCCCTTGAAATTGCTCCTTCCTGCTCAATTCCAAGAGGAACGCCCTCCAAGGAAAGCTGTCCTATTGGGACAGGATGTGGACTATTACCTTTGTCCAATCTCTCACTAAGTTCCAGATCCCAGTGGAATTTAAACCTGGATCTTTCACATTTATTAACAGTAACTATTTTCAGGGCAAAAAAAAGTTAAAATTCTTGACTCACCCAGGTTCATGTTTAGGGTTTCATATTTTCTTTTCCTGGAATTGTGAATTCTGCAAACTTGTGATGATTTTTGATCTAAATCTCTTTGGACCATAAAAAGAGCCCTAAGAGTTTTTGAGGTAAGACAGCCAGAGAGTAATTGCCATTTAGGTGAATGGGAAACCCACAAAATTGTCCTATTTTGCTCGGACTAAAGAATATGTGAAAATAGTATTTGAATTCAGATCTTAATGCATCAAAGACTGAAGACTGCCAACTCTTTTATTACAGACTCTTAGTCAGTCCAGCTCCGCATTTTGTGGGCTGTCATTATCTCTATGGTGATTTCTGCTTTTATCTAACAGAGTAACAAGATCCCTGACCTTCCCTATCTATCAATACCATCTTCACAGTCTCCAAAGCCAAGAGGCATTAAGTATACATACCCTCCTTCTTTTTGATACTGATAACAAGCCTAAACTCTAGAATGTCTGATAATAGATTTTAGGGGCCTTTTGTAATCTTACAAAGAAATAAAAATTACTTTATCCAAGAAAATAAATACTAGCCTTTCAGTTTTTATAGGAAACTAGCAATGAGCTAATAATGAATTACATGTATTCTACCTGCCCTAACAATTTCTATCTTTTTTCCTATGTATTTCAGTTATATTTTCCACCTAGGCAAAATGCACACATAAGCAATTCATGGCTCTGAAATCCACTTGTTTCATAAAAAGTATGGATAATTTAAATTTCATTACAAATTTGTAGGATAAGTTGATGAAATTGGCCACTGATCAAATAAAGACTGAAGATGAATACTGAAACATTTCCTTTTTATGTTTTTTCCATAAAGCTATCTTGTTGTAAAATTAAAGTTCCTGAAGTATATTTGTCACATATTCACTCCCTCATACTTTAGAAAAGTGAAGCATAGGTGCATATGAATAGGCCAGATGGTGTCAGACCTTCCGTTCATTGTTCTCAATGGAAACAGGAAAAAAAATTAAAATGAAGCACAAATCAGAGATTGAGCCTCTACAACTTCTAATACTTAACAAGGTCTAACAGTTTTAATATGCATAAATGAAGAGAAGCCATTTTCCAGCAAATTAAAGCAATTCCTTAGGGTTTACTGTGAATTCCATTTAACATTTATATTTCTGAATGGAAAATATTTGCCATTGGGAGTGACAAGTATGGTGGACAAATGCAGATTGTTGATTTTTAATATGGAAAAGCAAGAAATTGAGTAGCAAGAACAAGGCAGAGCAAAAGAAACAAAGAAGACTCTAGCTTACTTGTAATAACAGATGTCATGTCCTGTCCGTATCCAGGAGGATCTGCCAAGAAGGGCCTCCCTCACAGAATATAGGGTCGGCTGCATCCCTACATAAAATCAAAGCAGAACTTAATCAATGAGGGAAAGAGAAACCAGAAAGAGAGTTGTCATAGGCTAAATAATGGTCCCCAAAGATATCCAAGCCCTAATCCTTGGCAAGTGTGAAGGTTAACTGTATATGGCCAAAAAGACTTTGCAGATGTGCTTAACCTTAGGATTTTGAGATGAGGAGATTATCCTGTTGCCCTTAAGTGCAATCACATCATAAAAATTAGAGGCAAAGGGAGACTTGAGTACTGTGGAGAAGCCATGTGGCTGAAGCAGTGGCTTCAAGGATGGAAGAAGGAACCAGGAGTCAAAGAATGTCACTCTTGCAACCGGAAAAGAAAAACAAATGGATTTTCCCCTGGGACCTCAAGGAAACAGAACTGACACCTTAACTTTATCCCAGTGAAACTGATGTAGACCTCTATGCCTCAGCACTGTGAAAGAATAGATTTGTCTTATTTTAAATCACCAAGTTTTTGCCAACAAAGCCATGCAAAGTGAATACAAGAATCAAGGTTCACATTTTCTCTTCTCACTGCAACAAGCATTTACTTAGTATGAAATAGAGGTAGTATCTCATGCTCTGACCTATTTATGTGGGAATATTTATTCCTTTTTCAAAGCCACCCAATAAATTACATATGAGTTAGCAATAACACAAGAACTTCTCAGGAACAGAAATAGTCAAAGTAAATATGGGCTGCTGCTTGGGCTTTATTTCTTATATGTTCCCTTCAAAAGGGATCACAGATCAGGTAGCTTCGATGAAGATAAAAATATGTAATCTAACAACCACTATTAATCCCTATCATTTTGTTCTGAAACCCTGCATCATTTTTGTTGTTTTTGTTTTGTTTTGTTTTTGTCTATGTTGTTGGCATTTTGCTATTGTTCTTTTTCTAAAATTATTTTTAAAATAAAAAAATATAATGAATAAATAAATAAAATTTCCCAAGTTTTCCAAGGGTATAAAACAGTGTTGTACAATTGGATTGTACTATTCTCCTATATTATCACAAATAGTTGAATACATTTGCTCCTGTAGGATTTAGGAGACAGAAAAAAAAAAAATGATAGCAATCACCATCCACAATAGTTAGAAGTGGAGCAAGGGAATGAGAACACAGTGAGATACTATGTGTGCTATTAACATTCTATGGTAGAGTGAGGATCCCCAGCACACCCTCCCTGTGGCAATATGATATGGGTTGGCCACTCTCTTGCCACTGTAGAATCAAGATGTATCAGTCTAACTTCAAACTTTCTAGGAACCCAAGCAAGCATTCTTATAATAAGATAGTCAAAAGTGATAACACCTTCTCATTGTTCAGAAAGCCCCTAATCCCCATGAGCTCATACCATAATTGAACTGACTGTTGGGCTTCTCACAGTTGATGATGTTGAAGCGGTAAGGGATGGCAGCCCTCATGCCGCTCACCTTGAAGTAGAACCACTGCTGGTGCTGGGCACTGTTCACATCGGCATTGACCAGCAGGTCGTACTCAAACCTGCAAAGCCAGAAGCAAGTACGAGGATTATCTGGAAAGTCTTTAGGGCACATGAGAATCTATGGGCCTCAAATTCTGGATTATACATCTAAAATGCAGGCTCCCCAGTAGATGACAAAGTACAGTGATGGTTCTCATCTCACAGTATTGGAAACCAGCTGGAAATATGGGAAGAGACAGTGGTCTTGGTATTAGAAGAATCACTGACACAATGAAAAGATATCTTTTCATCAAGCTTTCAGCTAGAAAAATGAAGGTGTGATAGATCCCAAGAAAGTTCAATCACATCTGGTTTGAATATGCCAGTACTGTCTGATTCTAAACATTCCTTCTGAGCCTCAATTTCCTCATATGTCAATAGGAAAGAAAGTCTAAACTTGCATTTGTAACAATTAAGTAATACAAGGGATATAATTCCCTCCCAACAAAGTGACAAACATGAACTAAGCTAGCAATGGAATCATTGTGGGTTTCTTTGATTTTGAGTGAGATACAACTTACGTGCAGCACAGTGCACAAATCATAAATGTATAACTCAATTTATTTGCACCTGGATGCACCTGTATGAACACTCTTCAGCAGAGGACAGTTCCAGCACCCTAAGAGACTCTCACCTGTCCCTTCTCAGTTGCTGTGTTTCCAAAGGTAGTTAATTTTCTGAGCTCTAGCAACACAATTTTCAATGCAGTTTTGATGTAAATATAGTTATCAGAAACTCTCATTTTCAAATGTTGTTGTCCCATCTTCTTGATAGTCTCTTTGAATTCCTCTCCTTAAAAAAGGCAATGTTTTCACCCTAATCCATTTATACTCTCCATTAAGGAGCTTTGATAAATGACCTCTTTTAGTCTGTGTAGTAATTTATTATGGAAAGGTAGGGGTTGGTATAAGGCTAATAAGAGCAGAATAGAGCTGACTGCTGGAATCCCACCTTCACACTGTAGCTATAGGAAAGTAGAAGATGACAATAGAAAGAAGTGAATGAAAAGAAATTTTGATATTACTACCTTTCCCTTCTCTACCCCAAGAAGTTCGATCTGTCTCTATCTTACATGCTTGGCTTCCTTGGAATGTTTCATGTGTTAAAAAAAAAAATCACCTTTCACCTCCCTTGAAAAAAAGAAAACAAAAACAACTCCTTACATAGAGATAAAACAAGTCTGAATTATACCAAGTTGTGAACTCTAGTCATGGTAAATATGTAGAGCTGAATAACAGTCCAGATTGAATGAGTGCTTACCATGTGCCAGATACTACTCTAAGAGCTTTCTGTGTAGTATTTAGTTCTCATAAAACACCTATGAAGTAGGTGCTATGATTGTCCTCATATTAACAGTGAGAAAACAAGGGCATGGGGTTAGCTGGGCACCTTGTTCAGTCTTTGGGTTGCAAAGAGGTGGCCACTATACCATTAACTGTCCTTGGCCATGGTTATCAGAGATTCACCCATAGAAGATGGGTTATATATCTTGCCTTTTGGTAGATGAGAAATATAGTGCTATAAGAAAAGCACTATAAGAAAACAAATTATATATAAGAAAACAAATTATATATAACTTCATGAGAACTTCTGCCACTGGAAAAATTTATTACCTTCCCTTTAGTCTGTATGTCACTAGTCCTTTCTTACCTACAAAATCATTTTTTATTAATAAGAACTCATTAGTAGGTTTTTCCAGAAAGGCGTGGCACTGGGAATTCCCTGGAATGAAAGCCCTGAGATTATTTCCACCTCGGTATCTCAGAAGCCCTGAGATTATTTCCACCTCGGTACACAGTTAAGGGATCAACAGACATGGGATGATAGTACAGGGAACATTGTGTACCCTACTCTGTCAACAGAACCAACATTGGAATCAATGGAAGTATATATATCCTGGTCAAAGTGCTCGCACATCCAAATGTGGACCTATTATTAGGAATATAATATTTATACTTCTAGTGAACAGTTCACCTTGCTGGGACATCAGCCACTGCATCCCCTATGGTACTACAGCAAATGCTTAACAACCGATCTTCAGAGGAAAAGCCTTCATTATACCACTTGCCATTTTCATGATGTGTATACTGTCTTCATGGCCGATGTCAAGCTACTACTGTGAGCTCACAGAACAAGAATATGAGGACAAGATTATCACAACCTGATTTCTGGGTCTGCCTGGACTACCCACAGGGCTCTCCTTACTTACTCACGCACTTGGATGGCTTTGCGAAGATTTCCTGACTCGAACTTAGAGAAGAACCTTAGGCAATTGGAAGCCTTGTCTGGTAAAGGCCTATAATAAAATAGATAACACATGAACATGTCTTGTTGCTATTCTTCCACACCCTTGAACATTTCTTAAAAGTCTTTAACTTGAGTAGTCACCATGCTGTTTTTAGGAATGGGTTACTGAGATGCAACACTCCCATCCTTGTACCATTAACAGAATCCTCTGCACCTCTCCTTCCATGAATGGCCACCACCTACCAAGGCTCGTCTAAACTAAACACGACTCTGTTTATAACATCGCTGGGCTGGATGAGCCTCCGGACATCCTCAGATATCTTGATCCTGAAAAAGAAAATTGGAAATGTTTTAAGTGTCCCCCTCACTCTCTATGAAACACTTTTAAGTATTGTCCTCAGACTCATCCTATGGGGTCCTAAAAAGGGGCTGGGAAGTCATCAGCAAAATACAAAAAAAGAGACAGAAGCTTAACAATGTCCCAATCTTGGGCTCAGAGGATGTGAACAGCACTGTCCTTCTTCCTTCTCTTCTTGATTAAGAAAGAAAACTGCACTGTGTGGTAGGAATGCAGAAATCAAAGATGTTATATTTTTAGTTAGAGGATTATGGGCTTGGACAAGTTTTTTAAAAAACATTTGAGCTAGGGTACTATAACTTTTCTAGTTGTATTAATATCAGAGTTCTTTGTATTGAGGCAGTTTTGAGGGAGACATTAAGACTATTGACTATTTGCATCTTCAAGGGAGACTTTAATATTTTTTTTTACTCTTTTTACTCTTCGTATGCATATAGAGGACATTTTACTCTTATGCTGTTTATATTCCTTTGGCTGTACATGCTCCAGAACACAGAGGTCAGCTTCCTGCCTGAGGAACAATATGTAAGAGATTTAAATAAGAGAGAAGGAGGGAGCTCAAGAGGTCTTTCAATTCCATTCTTACATTTCCAATCAAGTTCATGAGGGTAGGATGGAAGAATGACGGCAGTGGGATGGATATGAAGCCTGCACATGGAGAAAAGATGTTCTATGCAGGGACAAAATTGTGTTAGGATCAGTCCTGGAAATACTGTATGTTTCTCAGGAATTTGAGCATGGTAGCTAATGTACAGGGGATGAGGAAAGAGATGTCAGCTAAGTGCTCATGTTGGAGCAGACCTGGGGACTTTTTACCTGGTAGTGAGAGAACAATTTGCCGATGATATGAAGTAAGTTAAAGAAACTTTATGGTCTGGATGCTTTGTTCTATTGATTTAGTGTATGCACTCCCACTTTGTCCTTCAGGGAAACCTTTTTCTATGGCTTTATTAGTTTTCATTTTAATCTCACGAAGCTGAGTCAAAGACAAGGCTCTTTCCTTCCTGAATTCTGGAATTAACCTATCATTCAGTGTTTCTGCCCTGGAGAATGTATTTTATTTTTCTCAGTCCCCTCTTATTGATACAACAAAACCATTCCATAAAGAAACCCAAGGTCTATAAGACTGGAACTGTAGAATTAAATTACGCCACCTGGTCTCTGTTACCAAAAACCCAGATACAAATTGGCCACACACAAGAGATTCCTTTTTCTAAAAATCTTCCTGTGAGGAAAAATTCCGGTATTTGTAAAAGCTGCATGATCTTTCCCTGTTATTGTTTGTAATGGATACAAGGCAGTGCTTATATAAGAAATTCTTTGTCAGAAAACAAATGCCTACTACCACCCCACAACTGATTCTAAAATATCCCAGGAGGAGGTAAGCTTGTAGTTTTGGTAGCTCTGAAATCAGTAGCACTGTCACCTTTGAACTCCACATTTGCGGCCCAACATGGACTGGGAAAAGGGAGGTGGACAGTGTCCCCAGAGATCAGGAAATGCCAGCATCTTGAAATCCACCACAGACTTGGTTCTTCTGGCTTTGGCCATGTAAAGATAGGGGTCATGGAAAGGAATATTCTTGGCATGTGTGTGCAGAAGTTTATCAATTACGTCAACAGTGTCTCTGGGCCTTGTGGAATTGGAAAAGGAGGCATTCAACCTTGGGCAAGAAAAGGCTTCTAGGTCCTCTTCCAGAAAATGGTGAACATCAGAGATATCATTTCCAAGAGAATCTATCCCAAGACCATTAGGGGGCGCATTTTGGTATGTGTTCATGACAAGCCTTGTTTTGGAGGACAGATGTGCGGCAGATCTACCCATCTTCACCACGCTCAGAACAGAAGCCTGGACTGTGTCTTCTCTTTCCTTTCCGCAGGAGATTTGGTCCTTATGCATGCAGTGCTGCTTTGGGGAGGCAGCAGTTGGAATGTGGTCGCGATTGGCAGACTGAATGTCTTCAAAGTTCAAATCATGTCCAAGTTTGGGCTCCAGTTCCTTGGGGTTTAAAGTGGAAAAGGATATGTCAGTGTTTCCTCCAGACAGAGAACACAATTTGATCCCTGTCTTCACTCTCTAGACAGAGAGCTCAGCATAAATCCTATGAACAGGGCAGGTTTTTGCAGGATCAGCCAAGAAAAGATTAACTAACATTCAAGAGTCAAATTAATGGCAGAATCATACAAAGTCATTTTTGGAAGGAGGTTTGGGTGGGTCTAGTATAATTCTGTACAGTGCATGAACGTTTTCTGAATCCCCCCCACTGCTCAACTAAGTTACAATTTGCTTCAATTTACATTCACTGGGCCCTCAATGAAACTCCTACCCTTCACTGTGTCCTGAGATAGTTCTGTTCTTTAGGATAATTCTAATTGTTTTCTAAAATGTCTTCTTTGTACTGAACTGAAATTTTCCTTTACAGTAACTTTTACTATTCTTATCAAGCATAGCTACCCTTTGATGTGACTGAACTCATTTCTTATTAACAGTCATAAGAAAATAATAGAGATCAAAAAGCAAGGCTAAAATCTTGTTATTGGCAGCAGCAGCAAGCAGCAACTAGGCATTGGAATACCTTCACCAGGTCTAATGTTCCCAGTTTATTTCTACTAATAAAGAAAGCCCAAAATGGGGAAGACCAATTTTGGAAATTCATGTGTGGTGATTTGCCTACTTGGGTAACAGAATAACTGAACCATCAAAATTTTCACTTGATTTTCAGCTCATTGAGCCAAAACACCTTGCCTAACAGCCTATATCTGCACCTGCCCTCTAATTCCACCCTACATGTCAGAGTGTAGGACCCTTGAATACACCCTAGATTGGCCACTCTTCTCACATTTTTGCTTGGTTTTCTACCCTTCCCTCAGAAGGAGCTCAGAAGCATGCTACTAATGATGAAGTGTTTTCCCTTTGGTACCTCTGCTTGGCTTCCCAGGTTCTGCAAAGAACCCACCATGCATTATCATGAAGCAAACCACAGCCCATAGCCTACCTTAAAGCCATAAGAGAGCTCAAGACACATGGCCTCATATTGCTTCAGTTCCTCTTCAGGTCTGTCAAGACCAGGCTTGAAGCTCAGCTTTTCCATGTCAGTTTCCAAGTCATCATCCTACAGCAAAGTATTCGAAGAACAGGTGACAATAACAAAATCCACACTGGAAGGCATCAAGACACTGCTCATATGTGCTTCTTCAGAATTACAGGACATGGCTTCCTTGCCCTCAGATGATAATGCTAGCCTAGCCACTGGAGAATTTATTAGACTAGATTGTGTTTTTAAAATACAAAGAAAGAAGATCCACGATTTATGTCAGTATTTATCAGCTCTCATCAGAAATAAGTAATAGTTTATATAAAATTATATAAACCATGTTAACAATGAAACATGATAAAAGAAATTCTTATCCACTGCTGTCATTAATTTTGTTGTAATTCCCTGTTCACCTATCTACCTTTGCTGTTTAGCTCCTTCACTCTTTTCAGAGTGATCTTGCCCAAGTCCAGATAATGCTTTCTGGTCCTTGCTTCTTAGTTGGACCTTTTGGTTATTGTCTTTTGCCTACCTCAGACTTGAGATTAAATCTGAAGGTGCTAATGTGAACCTCAGTAGGGACAGTCCCTGGATTCACTGGACTGTGAACTCTTCGAGGATAAAAACTATGTCTCATTTGTTTTTGCATCATATTCTCCAAGAACTTAGAGTACTGTACAACAAGAAAGTTCCTGACAGAAAGAATAAATGTAAAAAGAAGGAAAGGAGGGAAGGAAGGAAAGGCAGGAGAGCTTGAATTCACTCTGCGTATACCCTTCTTGAGATTACCCAAATCTACTACTATTTGCATACATGAAGAAAAACTATAGCCAACATTTTGTGTCTATTTGTTGTGAATTTCTTTTCTTATCTTGACAGTTTTCAACCAAATCACAGAATTCAACATTCCATTCTCAACACTCTTTTACAGATAAAAATTCCTTTTAATCATTCTTGCTAAGAGATTGTTCCCAATTATTAGCTGAGATTTTCAAGTGAACATGGCACATGTTGGTTCTATAAATACAAAAAATACATATGCATGATGAGAAGGTCCACATCCCTGGAATCAAAAGCTCTAAGGCTTCCCAAGGGAAAATCAGGATGCTGCAGTACCCATTCCCCTGTTTTTGCCAAACCCAAGAGTCAGTCTATGGTTGTGATGCTCCCTCACCTTCTCTACAAATCATGCGCTCACACTGACTTCTCATCCTCCACCTGGCTTGAGGGCTTTTGATGAATCTTTCCCAGCCCATTACCAATCTGTCTTGTGGTTCTTTCTCAGCTGGGTTTGTATATATGCTTAGGTTACACTGCACCCTACCTCACCATCCTCTGCAGAATGGGCACCAACAAGTATATCAGACAGCCTTCCCTCCCACACTGCGTGAAGTCACGCACTGCTGTACACTTTGTCCCTCCTCATCAGATACAAGAGGCGACTGACACTACATCAGACATTCAGTTATCAAAGAGCAAGCAAGAGGGAGGGAAAGTGGCAGTGATAAATGGCTGCAGCAGCCCAGTATTATTCAAATAATTCCACACGTACTCCACAGGCCTGTGTCACCCAGCCACCGCAAAGAACCAATTTGCTACTGATGACTTCAGAAATGATTCTATTTATCAACAGAACCCTGAGAGTACCAGACTGTCAATAGCAGTCTAAACCCAGAGATATGGCTAAGAGATAGTCCTTAAATGTCTGCCACCACCACTTGCAAGGTGAGTGATTGCCACAGTAGAGAATTCAAAAGTCTCTTTCTCTATAAGGAGGGAAGGATGAAAGTAGGGGAAGGAAAGGAGGGCAGGAGGGAGGGAAAGATAGTTTTTAAATGTGAGTTTTATCCCCTGCAAAGTGGTAAAGTATGATTAACTTTTTACTTTTATCTAACAGAAGACAAAGTCAGGGAACTATAATATAAAGACATTTGCCCAAATCCAGGTATGCCAACAAGAATGAAGATATAATTATAACTCATAGGCAAATTATGATTAGTCAGAGACAGTAGTTCTCAACTAGAGGTGATCTTGGTAATTCCTGGCAAAGGTTTTAGCTCACAAATTAAGGGCAAACAGGCAGATGCTACTATTATCTAGTGGGTAGAGGTGAAGGGTGCTGGTGAACACCTTACAATGTATAAGACAGCCCCAGAAAACAATAAATATGCAGTCAAAATGCCAATAGTGCCAAGATTTAGCCCTCCCATTGTTGAAAAGCAGTGAGCAAACTATGTCCTACTGCCTGTTTCACTGGGACACAGCCATACCCAATCAGTCATGCAGTCAGTGGCCACTTTTACACTACAACAATAATTTGAACAGTCATGACAAAGACTACAAGGTATACCAAACCTATAATAATTATGAGTTGACTTTTTATAGAAAACTTCCTGACCTCTGTTCTATAACACAGGCTATTATGGGATAGGGACTAAGCGCATCCCTTCTTTATTAGCTATGTTATGCACTTTGCAACTCAGGAGAACAGTTCATGCAGATGTAAATGAGATAGGATGATGCCACACCCCTGTGTAGAATGTGCAGGTAAGAAGAGTGATTTATGAAGATAAGTGAGCTCTAGTAGAAATTTCTCTAGAAAATCTTTCCATGGCCTCAAATGCATTCACTAACTACACCGACCTTAAGCACTAAATGTCTAAGTAAAGCTCATCCTGATGGAATATTAGCATCTTAATCATCGATAACTCTGACTTTACAGAGAGACAATGTACTAGATCTATCAAGATGAAAGCATCAGCTGGGAAATCAATGGCAGTAGCTGCATTTCTTGCGCGTTTCTAGACTGACGGTGTTAAAGTAAATCCTTAAAAATTTACCCTGGGCTTTAGAAAACACAGGAAGAACTATTCTCCTTTGCATGGTATGAACATGGAGATCATTGCAAGCAAGAGCTAGTGCACCTACTTGCTCTTTCGCATCTTCCAAATCTGAGTCTTTATCCATCTCATCACCTTCATCTTCAAAATCCTCTGGACAGGAAGAAAAGAGATTAAATACATGAAGGTTCCCCTTTCCTGGGACTTAGATTCTCATCTCACAGGGGTGAGTATCTCTTCTCACAAATAAGGGGCACTTTAAATGCACAGCAACACAACACAAACACACTCTGGTGCCAACTCGTATGCATAAATGAGGTGCACACAGGTGCTAAGAGCACTGTATCATGCAGTCGGTGAAGTCTCATCTCATGGAGTCCCACATTGAATGCACATGCAGCTCTGGTTTTTCTCCCATAGAATTTAGAGGTATTTATACAACTAATACTGCCAAAGTTTAGAAATCATATGTGTGCAACATTTGTTATAACTTAGATAACACCTTGTTTGAGTTCCTGATTTTTAAATGAAGAAATGTATTTGGAACAAACATCATCCAGTGTTTTTATAAAACATCCAGTGCCACTGTGGGAAATTATGCCTGTGGAAAATCTGTTCCATGGTAGGAAAGTGGGGCTGACAAGCCTTGGGATCTTTGACAGTAGCATCTTCCTGGAAGTTAAACAGTCATAGTTTCAAATATTTCAATATGAGAAACATGGGGTTGTAAACAGCAAAACTTTTATTTCAGCTTTATCTTTAGGGCAAATTAACTCCACCACCAGTCAGTAGGGATGCTGGCTCATAGGGCTGTGAATAGGTTTTTTTTAATTGGCTCAGATGACTGTACAGGCATTCCATAGCTCTCAGGCAAAATGGCAGCAGTTAATAATTAAGGACAAAATGAGCGATCTCGTTGTTTGTTCACCCTGTTTATGAAAAATTGCTTTTTCATATATGTCTCTAATTAGCTTATTAAATCATCGTGGTTGACCTGTAAAACAACTGATTCTACTGTTATGTGCATTCCTCTGATCTATTTTTAAAATGCAAAACTCAAAGCTCATGGCTATCTACTTATTTTACCTTCAGTAGCAGCACAGGGGGGTACAGAGTGGATGTTCCCAGGGACTGGGAAGGCATAGGCACTGCAGGCTGTGACCAAGGGAAGGGGACTCTTCGGGTAGCACTGCCTCAGGATCTGAAACACGGCTGAGATGACAGGCTCCATGCTTTCGTTGTCCAGGCAGTTCTAAGCAAAGGGAAAATATTATCAGACACCTACATCTGTATACAGACCACTGGCTGTAAATTATTTCAGGTAATGAATTGAGCACAGCCTAAATGGACAGTAAACAGTATTAATGTGGAATGTCTAGTTTGAACATAGTGTAATGCAGAATTTGCATTTTTATTTCTCTTTCATTGCTCATATGGCATTGCAATAAAATTTACTCTGAAATTAGAGTTAAAATTACTTCAAGAGTTGCTGCACCTAAGGAAAAACGTCATCCTGGACAGCTGGAGAAAGGGAAGGGGTACAACTTTCTGTGTTCATCCATACGTCATTGTGAATTATTGCCTAAGTTAGGGAATGAGTAGCTGAATTCATAGAAGTCTTGCTTTTCTCTTTCAGTTGTATTTGAAGAGAAAAATATAAAGGAAAAAGATAAAACACAAAATCAGAAGGAAAGACTAAGTGAATCCCATGCACTGAAATTAAACAGCACACCTTGTCTCAAAAGCCCACAGTGTTGATCCCGCTTGGTATCTGCCCAAAGCAAAGAAAAATTGGGTTTGCACATGTAACATTTTGATACTGATGGAACATGACAAGATCCTTCTTTTCAGACACTGTGAAAAATGTAAGAACAAGTTTACTAAATTGAGAGAAAGAGTTGAGGATAGTTCAGTATCTCTTTGGCAAAAACACTACCATTTTCTTCAGTTTCTTAGTAAATGTTTCATGCACTGAGTTGGTAGAGAGGTTTGACTAGGGTGAGCCTCCAGTTTGATACTGCTAAAGGGTGCAGCAAGCTCAGGAGTTAATAAATAAATATATCTGCAGATACAGCAGAGGCTGGGTACCCACCACAAGGCACCTGGATGACTATGGTGCTGCCACACTACGGTACCTTCAGGCTCATGCTGTATGCAGCTCCACATGAATAAACATAGGAAAAAACCTAATTAAAATTTAACCATGAATCCAAGCCCCATAAATGACTCCAAAATATACATAAGCCAACTTTCAAAACAGAATAAAAAAGAAAGAAGAAGGAAAGAAGAAAGAAAGAAAGAAAGAAAGAAAGAAAGAAAGAAAGAAAGAAAGAAAGAAAGAAAGATACATTTATGTATATACAAGGTTAGCTGGATCATTGTACTGCTGATGTCTATTGGTTTATTGAAAGAAACAGTTAATGCTGAATTTTTTTTCTTGACCAATTTTGCATGCTTATATCTGGCAATCTGAACAACTACTGTGAAGACAACCATATGCAATGTAACTACCATTGTTGAATTCCTACCATCTTGTTTAGTGAAGCTTTGTATCATTTCTAATGTTTTTTATTGCTGTTTATTCTCTTTAACTGTTTTATCAATCTTGCATTCTTACATGTGGCAATCTGAACAACTTCACTGAAGATAACAATATGTAATATAACAACCATTGTTAATTCCTGTCATCTTGTTTTGAAATCCTGTATCATTTTTATTGTTTTGTTTTTGTCTTTGTTACTATTATTTTGGGGTTTTTTTCTCCTTCAAATAAAAAACTCAAAAAAAAAAAAAAAAAAAAAAAAAAAAAAAACAGAATTAGTACAACCAGAAATGCAATCTTCCCTTCAGTATACTCAGTGGCACCAAGCAGGTATCTCAGACCACACAGCAGGACACACTCCCAGCAGAAAATGAATTATTTGACGCTGTTTCCTCCCTTAGCCTTGTCAAATAGCCTCAAATCTTTAGTAAAAAGTTATTAATATTGGAGAAGGAGAAACCAGAATGTAGAAGAGGAAGAGAGAACGTGAAGTAGATGGCCGATAAGAGTAATGTTGTGAGTTTCAATCTTGGGAGAAAAAACTCCAGGGCCAAGCCAAGAAACGTGGGCAAAATGCCAACATTTTGGAACAAGGGCCCATCTGTGACTGTCATCGGTGATGATAAATAAGGTCCTGTTTTTACCTTCTGCAGGTGGTCCAGATGAAAAATGAGTGGAAGGATCAAGGCTGGGCCACACCATGAGCTGAATTTGGGGCGTAGGAGTCATATTAAAATCTGTAGAAGGCATTAAGGCACTAAGGATAGTGCTGTAACTGGTGTCTGCTACACTCTAGGAGAAAAACTTGTGAATTTAATGATGATCCATGATGTTACATTTGGGATCTTAAATGTCCCCAAAGGCCATGTGTTAAAGATTCATTTATCGCTGCTGGGAGGAGGGTCCTAGCGAAAGAGAGTTAGGTTATCAGGGGAGTGCCCTTGAATGGGATGCTGGCATCCTGGCTACTTCCTTTCTCTCCTTTTTGCCTCTCAACCGTCATGAGGTGAGCAGCCTCCTCTGCAGTATGCTGCCCTCATGTGCTGTACCTTCCCACAGGCCCCAAAGCAGCCAGGTCGAGTGACTATGGATGGAAACCTCTGAAACGAAAATACAACTCTTGGCCAATATGAAACTTTTCTCCTTTTAAGGTGATTTTCTGTTATTCTATCACAACAACGGAAAGAAAGCTGAATAACACACAGTGTGTGCCAGTTACTCTTGATGGTCAGTCTAATTAGATTAAGAGACTCTGTGAAGGTCATGGAATTATGAGGGTGCTAACTTCATCAGTGAATTAACCCACTGGTGAGTTCATGGCTGAATGAGCTATTAGAAGTGGATCGTGACAGCATGGTGGAGACTATATTGGGTTCTACTTTCTTCCTTTCTGTGTCTTACCCTGCTCTCTGTTTCCCAGATGCCATGAATTCAGAATCTTTTTACCACCAAGCCAGTCCACCATGTTGATTCTACTTGTAACCAGCTGACATGAACAGAAACCTCTGGGACCATGAGCTAAAAACAACCTTTTTCTCTTTCAAATTGGGGGTGATAGGTAGGCTGTCCTGGTAGATATTTCTAAGTCCACTTGTCATCATTCCCTCAGTGCAAATGCATAGGGGCTATACAGAACCAGAACAAGAATGGGGTAAATGAAGTGCCCGGGTTGCAAGATTTAAGGGGGAATTTGCTTTCAAGCTCCTACACCTGCAGGGTTGATATTGTTGTAGGTATCATAACATGACAAGCTTCCTATAAATAGAACCCCTGTGGACAAAGGTCTCATAATTGGGGCCAAAAATAAGATTTTTAGGTTTATTTTTCCCATTACTCCCATTCATATACCTGAAACTTAGAAAGGATGATAAAATTTACTTAGAAAGGATGATAAAACACAGTGTTTTGTCATAATTACCATCTTTGAATTAGCTTTGGAATAATAAATACCCTACTTCTGTGATGCATAGACAGGACAAAGTAACACACAATACTTCAGAACCTGGATCCTGACCACCTGGATTCAAATCATGAGCAGAAGGTACCTCACTGAATAACCATGTGCCCCAGTTTCCTCATCTGCAAAATGAAGATAACAGAACCTCTCTGACCAAGCTTGATGTGAATTAAACGTGTTAAAGTAGGCAACATGTCTAATTGGTCACAGTAAGTATTAACTAGTGGGATACCAGAGGCATCATTAGGTTTGTAAAATACCATAAGAATATGGGAGCAGACCCACTGCTGCCTGGGGCAGAGTCCTGGTAATGATCCTCATAATGATAAAGCGAGGCACTGTAGTGGAAAAGGTTCCCAACTTAGAGTCAGAAGTTAGAAGTCTTGGCTGAATGAAGATGCTTCCAGAAGGGAAGCCCTATTTCTGTGAGGAAACTGGGATTCCAGTTCTGTTTCTGACTAGCTGATACCATTGGCATCTCCCACTCAAACAACTACAAGTAGTCTAACTCTGTCCCTGACCTTCTTGATACTCCCTCTTTCTCCTCACGCCCTCTGATCATCTCCTTTCCAAGAAAGGTCCTTTAAAAACATAAATCAGCTTAATGGGAAAAGGGTTTCAGTTTTGCAGTATGAGAAGAGTTCTGGAGATGGTTAAGTGGTAATGATGGTTGTACAATAATGTTCTTAACTATTGAACTGTACAATTAAATGCAGTTGGGGCTGGGGGTTTAACTCAGTGGCACAGCGCTTGCCTGGCAAGTGCAAGGTTGTGAGTTCGATTCCTGATACCGGAAGAAAAACAAAACAAACAAACAAACAAAAAAACTCCGTTAAGAGATGACTTTTATGTCACATGTATCATACTGTAATTTAAAAATTCCATAATCCAAAAATAAAAGGCATGTATCATAGAGGATACTCCTTTAATTCAAATCTAGTAGAAATAAAATCCACAATTATTGTCATGGCCTAGAAAACTGGGCTTCCTTTTCTCTCCCTTTTTCTCCTTTTGTACTGTGTAGAAATGTGATGAGAATAACACTTGCTTTCTTATGGTGTTTCAGCAAGTTCTAAGTGGCATCTCCCCACCTCTGCTTCCAATTCCACTCCATGTATTTCTCCTTTATCCATCAAGCTTCTGCCATACCAACTTCTCTATTTCTTTAGCTTCTGCCATACCAACTTCTCTATTTCTTTAGCTCGCACCATCCTGATTGCCCCACCATCACCTGAATGCCTTTGTATTTATTTATTTCACTCTCCCTAGAGCCCTTACCTCCAACCCTTCACTAGTTCTTTCTTATCATTCAGGTCTCAGGCCAGAAGAACCATGCGCTGACCCCAGCCTGGGACAGACTTTCTCCTCCATCTTCTTTCAGGTCTTTCTGAATGCAGGGGCGTAAATTCTAAGTCTCAGAACAAAAGTGGTACAGTTCCAATGTAGCAACATCTTCCATGGAAATGCGCCTGGTTTGGGACCTTCTGATTTACTGTCCCTAATGTTTTAGTTGCTCCAGTAGATCTACACTGCATCCCTCTCTACCTGTACTTCCTTCTGCTTTCCTCAGCAGTGTACACTCAAAAAGGTGCTCTCCTGGCCTCACAGAAATAGGGCTTCCCTTCTGGAAGCGTCTTCATTCAGCCAAGACTAAGCAGGGTTCTCCTTCCTCTCTGCACAGTTTTGCCAATTCTACACCTACGTCCCATTCACTGTCATTATCTTAATTTGCTTTTCCTTACAGGATGAATTCCTGAAAGGGAGAGGTGCTTCCTCTATCACTTTCATCTCTGAACCACCTATATAACCTCAGCCCCAACACCTTCACAAAGCGGGACTTGGATAACATTTACTGAGTAAATAAATGATCTCAGGCCGACCTGACCTCCAGGGTAACTACTTCCTGATTCCAAGTAGGTGGCATCCCCACTGGGGAGACTACTTTCCATGGGCAAAGGGGATCCAGACTAATCAAAATCGAGGCTTAGCCTGCAGCACCCCTTTCTGGGCAAACGGTGGCTATTGTGACTTTTAAAAGGTTATGTCACTGCATGTGCTAGTGGTTCCTGAGATGAGGTACCCACATCAGTAGCATCAGCATCACCTAAGCTCCTATGAGAAATGCAGAATCCTGTGTCCCACCTCTGACTAAGTTAGATCCTAGAGAAGGAAGTAGAAATCTATTTTAGGAGACTGGAGATATAGCTGAGCAGCACAAGGGCCTGCCTGGCAAGCACAAGGTCCTGAGTTCGATTCCCAGTACCAAAAAAAAATCTATTTTAACTTCTAAGGGATTCTGATGCAGACTCTAGTTTGAAAACCACCAATTTTATCAACTTTTTAGGTCTCCTAAGCTGTTGCAACTCAAAATAATGGTCCCTTTAATCTGATTATTTCATATAAGATTGTTCCTTCTATGATTAACTATTTCTCCAAACAGATAACTACCTCATACTATTCCAGGGAATCCTTGTAAGTTTTTTTCTTTCAATTTTATATCCAAGCTATCATCCTTTCTCCTACTTCATGCAGTGACAACAAGATTTCATTACAGCACACAGCATCCTCTCTGTCTTATGAACAACCTTAGCCTTTGGATGTCTAGGGGATGCTCAGAGGATTGCTACAAGAACTGTGAGCCAGGGAGCAAAGAGCTGGGCTCATCAAGACAGGGGTGCTATATGCAATAGCCTCAGCAGAAAAACAAGGAAAAATGGGGTGAGCAGAGGCTACAGGAAGGACAAAAACCACATTTTTCTTAATTTCATGCCCAGTAAACTTATAATTATATCATAAGCGTAGACAGAAGTAGTATAGGATGGTGGTATGCAAAGTGTGGCTTCCAACCAGCCTCAGCAACATCACTAAGGGACTTGTGAGACCTGAAAATTCTCATGCACCACCCAGACCCTCTGAGATAGAAGCTCTGAGGACAGGGCCCAGTAAGCTTGTTTGAGGGAGGCCTGCATGTGACTCTGACATGTGCTCAACTCGGGAAACTCCTAGTGCAATCAGCAAAAATGTGGACTGTCAAGTGAGACCACCAGATTCAAAGCCTGGATTTGTGAAATTAGATAAACTTCTCAGACTTTTGTGTCTCTGTTTCTTCATCTATAAAATAAGGATAATGAGACAACCTACCTCAAAATCTGCTTAGAATGTCAAAGTTGAATAGTGTGTAAACCCTAAGTTAACCATGTAAGAACCAGGTAAGAGCTTAATATAAAGCAATCATTTTCTCTTCCTCCTCTTCTTCCTCTTCCTCTTCTTCTGCTGCTACTGCTCCATTGTTATTATTGCCATCATCATCATCATCATCATCATTATCATCACTGGTAGCAGCAGCAGCAGCAGCACTTTCAAAAACTGAAGTAGCATCACCAGATCCAAAGTTCCCAGTTGACCAAACAATGGTTCCTGTGCTTTTCTTAGCAGAAGAGGGAGGAGGGATGATGGGCAGCTTGAACTCCAGCACAGCTGCTAGGGCGTCTGTGCTCATAGCAGTCTGCCTGGGCCTGGGAGGCTACTCAGTGATTCTGCCAGGAGGCAGTAATTGGCTATTTGGTTTCTAAGCCAAGGTAGTGCATCTTGCACCTGAAAAGAACATTAAAAAAAAAAAAAAACAGAAGAATGGCAAATATCAGACTTTGCACGAGAACCTGATAATATCTCCTCTGAGAGAACACATTACTTGAAAGACTAAAAATGGGGGAGCAGTGAAGGTGAGAAATTCAGTCCTTGAAGTCATCACCCACACTTTCTTCACACTCCTCCATGTGACAGCCTTAGTGTATTATGGCCAATTTGCTCAGCAGGCACTCCTGGACTTGTATTTAATATAAGGCCAACAGAGATTAGAACACAGGCTGCAGAAGCCAGGCTAGAAAATGCAGATTCTGCCTCCAGTTATATCCGGATTCCATTCCCAACAGTAATTGGAGCTTGGAAACTTTCTGTAAATTTTCTTAGTTTAACAGTTTGAGGTCTTCGCTGACCTGCTGAGGAACTGCTTCTGAAGACTGTATGTAGGCTTGCAGCCCCTCAAAGCCTGAGCTTCACTTAATATTTTCTTCATTATATTTGTATGCCTCTGTGGGATCACAAACTTCTTCCTTTATTGTCCCTTTAATTGTATTGTATCATAGAGCAGAAAAACAGCCAATAACACAGAGGGCAAAGGCCCTGGATGAAGCAGACAGGCTGAATGGGGGCTGCTCAATATTAGCAATATAAGGGAGTGTTTTACAAAGACTGGGAGAGATTAGAGACACGCAGAACCACATGCTTGCAAAGCATGGGGAAGCTTGGAAAAATTCAAAGCATTGCTTCATCCAGAAATATAGAATATAAAGTGCAGCTATTTCATGACTGAGAAGCTCTGAGAGCTGTAATGACATCAAGAAACCCAGAGGAGATAGCAGACAGAAAATTAAATACTGGTGCAGCACAGAATTATGCTATTGTTTAGGAGGGAGCACAGCCATTTTTTTAATGAAGAAAGTCCTCAGACTCCATGGTTGGAGAACAACACACTGGTTGGCTGCTTCAGTACCTGTGGATGAACCCAGAGAAAAACTGGAGTGTCCAGAGAGGAGCAATGTGAACAGAGATTGGCAAACCGGAAGACAGCAGGCAACATAACGTGGGTTAAAGTGAGCAGATGATGAGGATTGAGACACTCCCATCACCAACAGAGAGGGTCTATGTAGCCTTCAATGGTGCTGTTTAAATTAGCAACAGCTAAGTGTAGTTGTGGAATTCATTATGTGAGCTGAAATCCTGGTAACCCTGGACCATGCATATTCTACTGGTGGCCGGTAAGTAGCCCTGGACCATACATCTTCCACCGGCGTGCAGGTAAGTAGCAGCCACTGTAGGTCCTGCTCCCTTTGGCTGGATGTTCTTCTGCTTACACTTGGCATGACCAGCTCTTCAGTCATCCAGGTCCTAGCTCCTATGTCACCTGCTCAGAGAGGACTTGACCTCTTTAGAAAATCATCTTCTCCCTCCACCTAGGGCAGCCACTCTTACCTTACTGGATCTCATGGGTAATATTAAATTATCTTCTTCATCAGATTTTGTGTTAACTTAATTTCTCTCACTTGTCTGATACGATGTTTGCCCCAAAAGGTCCAGAATCCTGTCTATCACATTCACCACTAGATTCCCAGTACTAATTATCCCAATGACTGCTCATGCGCAAAAAGTAGTTAAAATATGCCAGAAGCTCTTCCGAGCACATGAACTTATTTAGTTCACACAAAAAGCTAGATGTTTTATCTCCATCTTTTTGGAAGAAGCAACTTCAAGATTAGGGAAGTTGGACGGCTTCTCCAGAGTTTCATAGCAGGGGCTACTGAGGTTGGAAACTGAATCCAGGTTCTCTAACTCTAGGGTCCACACTTGTAATCAACACACCATTTGGCACTTCCGAGAGTGTTCATTCCGTAAGTTCCAAGGGAATAAATGAAGAATTGATTCATAAGGAATGAATAAATGAGGATTTGAATCCAGAACAGCACCCATCGTAAGCAGCGAGAAATGTACTGAAATTTTGCCAGCTCTGTTCAGGACAATTCCTGAGCATTAGCCTTCAGGAATCATCTAGTTGCTGTGTCCCAGATGCAGAAAGAATGCAATGCTGACTACCTGTGTGATGCTGAAGAGGGTCTCCATGCCCTGGGCCGCCAGGAAGGCCTCCCTGCCAGACGAGAGGGTGACGATCCGCTTGAGGCAGAGCAGAAGCCCCCGGCGGATAAGCACATAGGTGTTGGTTGTGTCACGGCTGTGCCAGTCTTGATGTAGCCTGAGCAAGCTGGTGACATACCCTCTGTTCACTGCCCTGCGGCTGTTTGACCCTGCAGACAAAGGGGAACAAGCTATGTTAATCACAGGCTCCCCAGGGCACACCTGTCTCAGAGCATCTCCTACAAATTATTCATAGATTATAAGAGAATAGTAACTGTTCAGTATATACTACCAGCAGATGTCTCCTTAACCCCTGGATCAAAGTCAGCATCACCAGTAATGAGACAAATGTTGTAATATACCCCAAAAAGATATGCTGAGAACAAAACCAACTCACTTTCAAGGTATTCCTGCCAAAAATGTATAATCTGATTAAAATCATAAGATAAATTAGCAAACCCAAACTGAGGGGCATGCTATAAAATATCTGACCTACATTCTTCACAAATGTCAAGATCATAAAAGGCAGGGAAAAAAAGACTGAGGATCTGGGGCTAAAGGAGCCTAAAAAGACATGACACCTGAGTTCAACACATAATTATAACTTAGTATTAAGCCAGAAAACACATTTTCCTTTTACTATAAAAGCACTTGTGGGACAACTAATAACATGTGAATAAGATCTGTACCTTAGCTACTAATATTGTATCAACATTTATCTCTAGATTTTGATAAGCTGCGCTTATGTAAAAGAATGTCCTTGTTTGGAGAAAATTCAAAACAGGACAATTTGAATGTGTGTAAATTATTCTCAGGAGAAAAAAAATGTGTGTTGGGTAAGGGGACTGGGAGATAGACAAAGAAATAGAGAGATTTCCCTTCGATTGCTATTCTTCTTCCCTGAATCTCAGTAGATCTAGATACCCACTGAGCAAACAAGGTCAGATAGGAAAGAAGGTTGAGTGAGACCTAATATCTGAAAAGCTGTTATGTGCAGAAGCCTTGCTGTGGAGTTCTCTGTAACTCCTAACAAGTTGATGTCTGCGCAGGTTAACTCAGGAGGAGGACGACTGACGGGATGTTTGCCAGTTCGAGGAGAGACGGACCTTATAGGGAAAACAAGAAAGCTCCCAAAGGGACAACCACATAAAACTTAATTACCCAGCTGAACTGTCACCATACCTTGCTTGCCTGCCTTGCTACCTAAAACAAACATCTCCACTCAGCAAAACTATGCCTTTGCTGTTCTCCAATAAATCTGGGAGTTTGAGTCAGCTCAGGGCTTCACTCCATTCCAGTGAAGACCCCCAGCCCCTCGCCACACACACACACAAACATTCTCTGTCTTTCGAATCTCCATGCATCTCTCTAACAGGATTTGCTGGTCTAAATCGGGCAGGTGTCACAATTTTGTTTAATATACTTTCTGCTTTGGCTTCCATTTGCCTAACTTAAATGGCTTGAAATCCCATTGTAGACCATAGCTTAGGGCCTCATGGAAACTTCCGTTCCCCAGGTGTTGTTGAGGTAGGGCCCACTTGCTCCTCAACCCACAGACTAAAGTCCAACCCATCTATAGCCACCAGGAGCCAGGATGGAATCTAATGGCCAACCTCACAGTCATTAAATAAGTCCTTACTTTGTGAATGTTTACTTAAACTAGCCAATCCACAACCACTGTAGGAAAACCTAAGCACCTTAACAAAGATCTAGTCTCACATGATCACCTTCTCTCCACCTTTGGTTGAACTTCCTCCAGAATTTTCATTAACTCTTCTGGGGCTCCCTCTTCTCTCCAGAATCTGGGACTATAAAGCACCTTGGCTTTGTAACCTGTTCTGTTGTTCTGCCTTCTCTGAGTCTCACCTGACATTACCCTGGTCAACACTCTCCTACAGAGTAGCTAGCCTGGCTTATGATCAAGATAGATCAAATTAGAAAAAGAAAAAAAATCACAACAGAATGGATTGCCTCAGGCCAAGAAAGGAATTCTCCATAGATAATGCTAGTCAACAAGAGGATGGCCTACACTGAAAATGTTTGTGGAGCGGCCATGAACCCATCCAGTAAAATCTCATTTGGAACTTCTTTATATCTGATGAGAAGTCTTAAGCAAGAGCTTTCAGGGTCGCCTTGACACCTTCACCACCATGATTTCCTGTTGTTACATTTATACTCTTGGTGGAGACCTCCCATGAAGCCCTATCTCCTGGATCTAATTTTTTCAACATATGATTTAAATTATCTTTTAGGAAACATAAGGGCAAGGACTGTCCAAAATCCTACTTTTCAGATATGTGCCAGTTCAGACCCATCTGACAGCTGCCGGGTCACCTGGGTTCCTACAAACTGGGTGCACTTCAAGGCTCTAACCAGCTTAATCCTGGCCATAAATCCCCAGATATTTCATCTCTGCTCTCTCAGCATTGTACTTCTCCCTTATCCAAACCATGCACATCGGTTTATGAGACAATTTGCTTTTCTGGCCCCATGTGTGTGAGGTAGAATCCCTGAGCTGTAATCAGATACCCAAAATTTCACCTCAAAGTCAGGTTTGCCCTTAGGACCACGTAAGTGTACATGAGTGGGGGAAAAAAAGCATTGAAATTTAATGCTTTATTCCAGAGAGATTTTCTCATAACATTAATGGGATATTTTTTGCTTATTTATAAAATTCTAAGTTGTCAGGCCTCACTGAGCTCCACTGAGGTTTTTGACCCATTTGTGTAGTTGATTTTATACACTTTTTCCTTCTTACAACCTTCTATTCAGCCGCAACCCTGAACTGAGAGTAGTGAGCTTTATGCACCCAGAGATGTGTTTGTGGAAGGCTTAAATCGCCTTCATTACCTCCTTTAATGAATTATTCCTCTGTATCAAAAATATTTCCCTTCTTGGCTGCTCCCAGCCACAAAGCACTAGAATTCTTTATTGCTTAAGTGATGTCCCAGCCTATCCAATATCTGATGCTTAAAAGAAAATTGAGGATTAAGCAGGAGGCATTAAAGGAAAGCATCACTTGCTGAAAGGAACCACAAAGGCAAATACAGTGCCCAGGGGCGCCATGGACAGCGCAAGGTTAAGGACTTTTGTCTTACATCTATTTTAAGGATATGAGACTGATAATACGTTATCCTAATGACCTTCATCCATTATTCTCTTTTTTTAGTGAGGAAGAGGGAAAATTAAAAAATAATCTTCAATTGTCTGAGAAAAAAATCCCTTATCAACTCCCAATGATTTTATTCATGATGTTCCTGTTAATCCCCACCAAGCTGTCATGTTTACTAACATCTGAAATTGCTAAACCCCCTTCCTCCCTGACCCTACATCAGTCAATCCTTCTCGGCCAATGGCTTGGGGAAGTTTTGTAAAAGTCAATACATATCTAACACCCACCAAGAAGAGATGCGTCAAACTGAGGAAGAGCAAACGTGGAGAATGAAATGAGGGTTGCTGTGATCAGCAACTTAGAGGAAGCTCTGGAAGATTTGAGAGGAAAACATTGCTTCTCAGAGCAAGGGACATATCCAGGAGAAAATGTGAGTTTTTTGAATACTGCTATGTTCCTCAGTAAGTGGGTGATATACATGGCTTCTTCCTAAGACTTTCTTGGAGAAATTTTATATATATATAAAATATATATATATATATATATATATCTTTTTCCTGAGTAGATTGGTATTTCCTAACCTGTTTGAAAGCTGGAATGGGATGGATTGTCAGAGAGGAGTTCCAAGGGCCAGTAATTTTACCCACTCATCCCTAACACCTACCCCACTTTGTAGGCACTCTCCCTGCTTCCTTGGGACCCCTAGGCTCCGCCTACCACTCCCATCAGCCTCCTTCCTGATGTCTCTTTGGCCTGTTTTCCTCTAGCAAATGCATGAATAACAGAGAATTTATGTTTTTCCTCACCTCCAATTCAGCCTTTTCTATCTGTTTTCTCTCCCCACGGTTATGTCCTCTGAGAGCCTTACATGCCATTAATTCTCCACCTGAAATGTGGTCTCATGATAGCCTTATTTTAGCAAGTATTTCTAACTGAAGTTCAGATGGTCTTCTTTCATGCATTCCCCTTGGACCAGACTTTTACACTTAGATAAGAAGAAAAACAAACAAATTTTTAAAATAACTGGAAAAGAATATGCCAAGATATCAATAGCACTTAGCAGAGCAGGTGGGTATTGATTCTATCTGCTTGTTCAGATTTCTAGTTTTTATTCCCAAAGTATTCTACAATACACTTTAATAACCAAGTGGGGTCTTGGGGGAATGTGATCCTATGACTGTAGTTACAAATTAGTGGCCTGAAGACTTGTGGCCCATAGACTTGTGGCCGTGCCACGTTGTCAGTGTTGATGCACAGGGACCTAGTGAGCAGGCCTGTGAGTTGCCATAGCAACAACTCACCTTTTTTGTCTTCCCCCATCTCCTTCAAAAGTGAATTACCTGCCTGGCCCCTGAAGGCACTGGAGGGCAGAACCATCTTTATAAAGACATTTGTCTTCCAAACAGGAAAGCCAGAAACCCTTCAAGGCTCAAAGGATCGAATTTCTCCTGGGGAACTTGGGGCTCGTGACAGCTGGTGGGGAGAAATGCTTGTTGTCACAGATTATTACACCAGTGAGCAGCCACTACTCTGCCCATTTTATTTGGCAAAACCAAAAAAGTTGTCATCCCTGAACTTTATATCCCATACTTCAGAACTGAATCATTCCTTTGGGATGAGGTGATGACCGTTAGCACAGGAAATCCAGCAGCAGGGATCCAGCAGCAGAGGAATGGATGGACACTAACAGCCACACTCCAGGCAGGAGGCATACGATTTAGTGTGGACCTCTACACTTGTCTTCACCAACCACACGGACCCTGCCCTGCACTCTTGGGTCCTGACCTGTGGGCAGACCCCTTAGCTCTCTGCCAGCTGCCTGTCTGGAATCTCTGTCCAGGGCCAGGGGCTCCACCACATTCTACCTGTATGACCTTGAAAATGTTACTTTGCACCTCTATTACTCAATCTTCATCTAGAAATACAAAATTAATATCTTCTTTATGGCCCTCTAGAGAATTAAATGAAGTAATGCATAGAAAGCTCAATGCCTAGTGCACCATAAGCACTCAATACCTTTTGGCCATGAACATTATCATGCTTCAGATCAGCACCAGC